ATATATATATATATATCTGAATAATACGTAATGTCACACAGTGTGTTTCTCAGCACACTTACTTTTCTACTGTTTATAGTGGACAGAGAAGAGATAACTGGATAAATCTTTCTATGGGAATTCAAGTTTACTAGTCTGAGAGTTTGAGATGTTGAAACTGATGTTTAAATGCTAGTCAGTTCTCTTCTCAGTTCTCCTAAGAGCAGGAAGTGAAATAGTTAGAGCCACAGATGGGCCGAGGCTTCACCTGGGATCCCCAACATGCAGCAGAAGTTCCCAGTGTTTTTGTTATGTTCTCTCTGAAAATAAAGCAGCGCTTCATTGCACATGTTTCATAAGTGATAACCTCCTCTTATGCTGCATAAAGTGAAACTTCTAAACTAAGTCTAGTTCGTTGTATTTGTTGCATAAAAACATGAATACAAGCATTTTCAAAGCGCATTTTTTGTGGCTTTAAACGTGCATTAATTCAGTGCTAAACAATAACACAGTCAAACCTGCAGTGGGGGTTAAAGCTTTTTAAAGCACTGTGATGTGTAAGCATAGCTGCCATACCTTAAATGACAAAATTGCGCCCTCTTGTGGCAGAAAACCCTCATGTTCATCAATTGAGGTGATACAGAATGAATGAAGCATTAAAAAAAGTATGTGGGTCTTACCTGCTCCGTAGGAGGTACTTGCATGGAATTTTTTTCTGCAGTTTGTTTGACACTTTGCCTCTCTGGGGGATGCGTGTCGAGTGAAACTAGAGGAGGCGGAGGCTCGGGAAAAGTGTCAAATTCTGTGACGATTAGCTCTGGTATGGTGTCATATGTGGGTGGTGGGGGCAAAGGGAAATCCATATCCTCATCATGTGCAGAGGTCTGCTCTGCAGTATCATCCTGCAGTGAGATTTTTGACTCTTTTTTTTCTTTTATGACCTTTGGCACCAGATGAGGTGTTGCATACACTTGGGTGCTTTCAGCCTTTGGAGGTGCCGAGTTGTGCGTTTTTACATTATTCAGAGTGTGTACAAAGGTGCTGTTAGTCTGTACATCTGTCTTCACCTCTGGTAAGTCGTCACCGAAACCAAAAGTGGAGAAGCGGTAGGTCTCTTTTGGAACATCCTGAGATGATGGACGACTCTTTGTTGTCCCTTTACGTGGCTTTACGTTGGTCATATCCACTGGCTTACTAACAGTCAGACCCTGAGCTGAATTCAGCTTATTAGGACGAAGATGGTCTCCACCGGTGGCCGAGAGCTCCTCCACATACTGTGCAGGAATATAAAAGGGCTTGGTGTGCTGGTCTTTGCGAACGTGCCACCAGTGATCATTAGTCTTGGAGACCAGGATGTAACTTTCGTTTGGCTTTATGGACACTCGGCGACCATCTTTCGCTGTGTACTCGTACTCAAACTTCACTGACACGTGCTCCATGCTCTTGTGCAGGGCATCAACTCCCAGTTAATGTGGACGCACAGGGAACATTTTGAAACTGGAAATAGAGGAAATGTGATGTTAGGGTGGGTGTCAAAAAGTGTTCAGAGTTCATTGCTTGTTTTTGTTTCGTGATCCCATTTCACAAGATTGTGT